CAAATTCGGGGAGGAGGAGGGAGGCTCTTTTGTTTTGTTTTGTTTTTGTTATTACTAGTGATCAAGGTTATTGTTCTTGTGTAACAACATCATCATCATCGTTATCATATAGATCAGGGGGATGGGGATAACACGAAGGCCGTGTGAATGTTGGAATAGCAATAGTCAGTCTTTTGGTGAGAATTCAAGTGAGAATGACAATTCAGCCTTTTTAATAAGCAGCTTTTTAGGAATAAACCGATGCCGCTCTACCACAAGCTGCTCGGCACCTCGCGGCTGCGGCGGCCACCATAGTTCTACTCTGCCATTTCCACGCCCATCGATGGCCATGATGTGATATAATATTGTGGAAGTTGTGGTATTTCAATATCCTCTCCAATGCGACGGACGACGCGCAGTCTTATTGTCAACGCCATCTTGTTCTGGACAGTCCTGTTCCTCATCATCTACGTCAACAATGATTGGACATCGACTACCAAGACCTTCGCGTGGTCTCGAATCCACTACAAGACCTCCTCCTCCACCCTGCCTGAGCCTCGCGGCAACTGTCCCGGCTTGGAAGAGGACTCTAAACCGACCCTAGTAGTGGCAAGAGTTGGCGCAGAGGACCCTTCATGGCTTGACACCCTGGCACCCGTTTACCACCTGTGTGTGTACAGGACCGACCTGCAAGACGTGACCTCATGGCATCTCCAAGTGCCCGCGAACCGGGGCCACGAAGCCATGGCATACCTCACCTTCCTGATCGACAATTATGAACGCCTCCCCGCGGCTGGCGCCGTCTTTGTTCACGGCTCACGCTGGGCATGGCACAATGACGCCCCTGATTATGACAATGCTGCCCTCCTGGCGTCCTTGAACGTTTCGGCTGCCCTCGCTCCGTTTGGATACCACAACCTGCGTTGCGACTGGAGCGCCAGCACATGCTCACCAACTGAAGCTCCGCCACAGGGCAGCCTGGAAACATTGGCACGCTCTGTGTTGGAGCCGTGGAACTTGCGTTTGGCATCGGATAGTGCACTGCCTCGGGCGATCGTGGACCTGTTCGGTGGGCAGGGGACAGATGGAAAGATGAGCTCCTCTAGATTGTCCCTGGGTCGTACGGATGCCATTCGGTCGCAGTGCTGCGCGCAGTTTGTCGTTTCCCGCGAGCGAATGTGGCAACATTCCCGTGACGAATATGTTGCTCTTCGACAGTGGCTTCTGGATGAAGGAGAGAGGGCGGCCCATCCTGACGACCGGATTGCTGGCCGGATCTTGTCATATATCTGGCACATCCTATTTATGCCGCGGGATGCATCTGCCCACGTCGACCTAGAGCAACTCAATTCTTTGGCATGCCCGCCCGCCCACGAATGCTACTGTCGCTTGTACGGTCGGTGTGATCTGGACGGCTGCTCGAGTCCTGGTCATTGTCGTGGACAGTATGTTCTGCCTCCCGGGTTTCGACTGCCGGATGATTGGGCGGCGAAACATTCGTGAGCACGAGCGGGGATTTTTTGGGCAAGACTCGTCATGTTTCACAATCGGGCGAATCTCTATGTCTCGTGCTCAGAACTCACAACACGAGACTGATGCTGAAAATGCCAATAGTGACTGGGATGTGGCCGTCTCGGTGTCGATACAAGCACGACAAAAAGTCCGCCTCGAGCCTAACCAAGCTGGAACCCTTGCCCATCGAATTTCGATATCGCACACACAATCGCTCTGAATGCTGTGAGGCCGGAGGTATTTCTCGACAGAGACTCCACCACACCAAAAATACCAATTGGGACGGGTTAGGGTCTTGCATACCCAGGTATATGGACTTGAGACTTGTGTATTTACTTAGTCAGTGTCGGTATAGCACAAGCCACTGATCGCCGACTTAGCCTTGCCAGTCAATACGAGGTCCAAGCCTCGTCCCTAGTCCCCCAATCAGACTGATAGGCTCTTAATTTGAGGACAACTTTATAAAGCAGTTATGGTTGTGTTTCTCTCATACCATCACAAGCCAATCCACTCATCCTTTTATACTCGTCGTACTAGAAATCCACCTCATGGGAGTAAATGGCGAGAATGGCGGGGAAACCCTCAGCTCAGCTCAGCAGTTGCTTGGCTGCAGCATGGCTGACTTGACTAGTTCTTCCTGCCACCAAAAACTTCCTTCGATCCAAACACAATTCTCCCTTCTATCACAAGGCCGGTTTGCGTGGCTGGGATCGAGCTAACGGTACTGTGTTGTATTTTCTAGAGGGGGGCACAATGCTGGTGCTATCGGCTCCTGCGGTCTGATGCTTTCTCTGGCTTTGGACACGCCGTCTGTGTTTGCTTTGGACGTTCACCGACTATTATTGTTATTTTGCCACAACCCAATGCTTCGCTGCGATCCAGCTGTTTGGTTTTTCCTGCCGAAAGTGAGCCAGGATGAAGTTCATCGACCAGTATTTCAGCGATAACCAGGGGTTTCAGCTCGACATCGTCGGTAAGTCGGGATACTTGATCGCAGGCACACCGACCCCTTGTCCCCGGGGCTCTTCCAAACATCTACTTGCCAAGCAGAAGTTGCTAAGCACCAGAGACAGGTTTCCTTGCCATCCTCGGAGAAGGTTCCGTCGAGACCATCGCCCAAGTAGCTACCTTGAGCTACCTCATATACGTTCCCCGCCTCCTCCCTGCGCCTCAGATCTTCATCCGACCTTCTCGCCCCGAAAAGTTAGAGACCACCGCGGGAGCCAATGTCATTGGAGTCCACTCAGGTAACACCGGGGAAGACATCCACCATGTGGCCCATGCCTTGCACCGCGGTGACAAGTTGCGTCCCAACACCGTCACTTGTGTTCGAGTAAGAGAGAACGACAAACCCCGTCCGTCCATCAAGAGGTTTGGTCCACTGGCCTGGCTGGTATTTCTGGGGGCAGCCATGAGCGGTGCCCTGCTGGCGCTTTCCATATACTATGAAGACGGGTGAATCTTCACCACGGTCCCGGAATACAAGGAATACTGTGCTAAATCGCCATTGTCTAGGATGTCGTTGCTGGCGACCGTGTTGCTGTCCTCCCTAAGCACCGTGACCGGCATCGCCAACAAGTGGTCACCCACACCCAATGACCCGAAGCCCGATCCTCACTCTCCGCCCGGCGACGTGGTCATCAAGTACCCTCAAGGCGCTTTTATTGTGGTGAGCTGCGAGGAGCGAACGGCGCGGTATCTCTACTTCAACCCCAGTGAGCGTTGCATTTACTCGGTGAAAAGCACGGCCATCTATCGAGGACTGTCGCTCATTTCGACCTTGTTGCTCATGGGCGGGGTGATTTCGTTGGCCAACGCCAAGATCCAGACCCAGACGGCCTTTGCAGGCTCCTACATGCTCATCAATATCTTCTACTGGGTCGGCGCCGCCTTGCCTCCTGCTCAGCATTGGGACCTCTCCCGCCTGGAGGTGGAGCACATCGAAGTGCGTGGGGGAACGCCACCACGAAACGCCAAAGTCGACAACTATTCGCCCACGTACACCGAGGCGCTGTGGAAGGCTATTGCAGTGACAGGAACCAGCAACTGGGTCAAGGAAGCTGGCTGGGCTCCCAAGACACCGGCTTGGAGCGACTGGCTCAACGAGGCGGAAGAGGCTGCCGTGGGCGAACCGCTGAAATCAAGCCGCCAGATGGTGGATGGGCGAGAGGTTGAAGTCTGGACAATCCGCAATTGGGACAGTCGAAATGCGCTCTCAACGCTGTTACGGACCACAACGGACAGAATCCAAGTTCAGTCAAAGCGGGGATGATGCAGGAAGAAAACACCATTGTGATGCGAAGAAGTTGTCCTTCCCATGTAAACCAACAGAGAAGAGGGCATCCCATCACCGACGCCTATCCAGACTAGCCTGGTCTTTTACACACCCACGGTCTACCTGAGTACGGGCACGCACGACACATCTACGAATTTCAACGACCAAAAAGTGAACGAAAACAAGAACGAGGACGAGAACCATGATCCCACGAACCAATGATCCAATCAATGATCAATGAATCACAAATGACTCCATGATCCAACGAACAACCAGCTACCGGACCTAAAAAAAAATGTGCACCATAAAAGTACCAACATTGACAGTACCAGATATACATCCACATACCTCACCTATACTCGATACATTGCGTGACTGAATGCATTTATCCACCAATCTGTCTATCCACGTATGTATGCATGTATGTATGTATGTATGAGACCACGAACGCGGGCGCGCAGGATATTTATTTTCTATGGATATAATGGGTATACGGATGTAGAGAAAGAGAGAGATTTGATAGACTGACTTACTTCATTTATGACCTTTACGACAGTTTATGACATCTACTCGTACCACCTGTGCTCATTTACACAAGTCGCATCCCTCTTGGGATCTGGTATTTACAATGCGCGACGCATAGGACAAAACCTTGTCTCGCTCTCTCGCGTTGCTTTGTCGTGTCGTTTCCCCATCTAGAAGCCGTATGTATCCCACAGTACGTGAGAGATAAAAGACAAAAAATTGAACCTCGCCGGGAAGAGAAGAGACCAAATAAAAGAGTCAAGTCGAGCCAAAAGTCGGGCTTCCGTGTCTCGTGTCAAGGGAGTATACCTCGTATGGGGACTATATGGGAGTATATACTTGTATAGATCGTATATGTTGCCCCTTGCCCTGAGCTCAGCTCTGCTTCTCTTTCTCATCGGTGTCTGTCAAGACCAATAGTGTCAAGTGCTGTCTGTCAGGTGCATGTCCGGGTTGATTAATATCAAAACATTACTCCAAGTAGTAGTAGTGGTGGTGGTGGTGGTGGTGGTGGTAGCGGTAGTAGTTGTGATGACTCCTCCAGTCCAGTTCCACCGGGAATCCCCATCGTCGTCAAAGTCGTCGTCGTCATATAGATCGATCTCAAAACAAAACGCTCACAAAAAGGCATGTTGCCCAAAACCAAAAATGGCATCAAAGCATCCAACATGGTATACATGCATTCGTCACCACCCAACGAAACTCCCGATCACACCTTGGTACTTCTCATCTCATCAGCGGGAATCATGCCTGCATTGATCTGCGCAGCCAGCTGCGACTCTCGGAATGCATTGAAGCCCTCGGGGTCTTTCTCCCTGAGCATCAGAAGCTCTTGAGCATTCAATCCTAGCTCGCGTACGACGTTGTCTGCGCCTTCCTTCTCCACTTTGTACCGAATGTCCTCTCCATGGATCTCGTCCAATTTTGCGCGGAGAGCAGCGAGGTGAGGTGGGTCAAGGTCAGTTACACTGGATCCATGCAAGGCATCATCCAGGCCAGTGGGTTTGAGGACTTCTCTCCGGATACTCTGTCCAAAACGGTGCATACGGCCTTCTTCGTCTGTAAAGGCTTTGGCCGCGAGAGATGTATTTGACGACGTTCGAGATAATTTCATGGCATATTGGTCTTGTGCCTGACGTTCTGCCGGGAAGTAGTCGTCAGCATCAGCCATCTCTAGGATCCCACTTGAATCAACCGAAGCCGACAATAGAGACGTCTCTCCCATGGAAGGATCTGGGGAAGGCATGCCGTTCGGAATTGGAGGAGATGATGAAGGGACTTTGGTCTCGGGATACTCGTCTTCGAACCTCTGGATCATCCGCTGCAGGGTCTGGTCGAGGAAGAAAAGACGACCTGTTCACGCTTGTCAGTAACGATATACCCCTCGAATCCTCTGGCCAGGACTTACGATAGTTCTCGTGGTTTCCCGCTCGATCTTCTCTGACCAGGACAGGCTGTAACCGTCGTCTGATCTTTCGCGCACTCTCACAAAGCTCCAAACTCACATCCCGCGGTTTGGATATTGTCCTTTGCCGGATTGGTCCCCTTGGAGTGGATGTCCCACTTGCTGTAGGACTAATACTCCTCGATTGTGCCCGGCTGTTGCCATCCTTGCGATCCAAACACACACCCAAGGCTTTGACGATTCCGGTCGACGCAATCATATAGTCCTCATCCGGCGCTGGCTCGTCCTTGTCGTAATTCGCTGGGTAGCCCTCCACATGACCAACAAGGTGGAGCAATACTTCTGGAGCGTCCTTCTCAGCAAGTTCGTCTGGCTTGACGCCGACCTCACTCAGAGTTGCGCGCTCCATGTTTCGGAGACTGTAAGCCACGACCTGTGATGCCAATGCTTTGACAACCTCACTACTGTCAGAGCTGGGCACTTCGATCTCCACAGCCACAATGGTCTCCGACACTCTGACCGCGGTCATCAAGGACGCAAAGAATGCGCACGCCTCCTCTTGCGAGCTCGCATCTCTCGAATTCATGGCGTGAATGAGCGGAGCATTGTCTAGAATAGTGAGATGGGCCATCGATGGGCAATCCGGCAAGATCTCGGCCAAAGCAATGACTTGTTCAGACGTCATGCCCACATCTGACAGATGTAAACGCTTCAGAGGTGCTAATTTGGGGAGGAGTCTGCGGAGAACCGGCACGGCGCTTGGCTGACTGTTGAACAACGCCATGTTGCGTGACAGGTCGATGAATTTGAGGTTCTTCAGTCTGGCGAACGGTATCAGGATGGAGTTGAGATCGCCGGGTGTTAAATTGCAATCCGACAAGCTAATTGCAAACAACGGGCAATCACTATCAGCAGCTTCTGCAAGAATGTATGCGATCCCATGCAGGTCATTGCTTCCAAGATCAAGACCCTCACAATGGCCAGACTTGATATATCGCACAAGGTAGCTGAGGGCTTCTTGCTCGAGGTTGTTGCCAGAAAGCCCGAGCCGTCGGATCTTACATTTGATGGCGCAATCCACGAGGTCTCGAATATTCGCAGGAGAAAGGCCACAGTCCCCAAGGATGAGCTCGTCAAGTTTGTCACCCAATCGCTCTGATAACGCATAGATAACCAGAGTCCCCAGATCCATGACTTTGGAAGTCGCGTCATTCGATCCGGTGCTGTTGGAACTTGTTGTAGAGATTGTCCGTGAGAGATCGCCTGCCTTCGGGAACGGGATCCCCGACAGATCAATGCCTCTGAGCGAACGCGACATGTGCATGAAAAGTGCAATGTGCCTCCATCCGAGATTTGTGATTCCAGAGTTGTCCTTCAGAGAGAGCTTCTCGATGACTCCCATCTGCTCCCTACCACTCTTCCCACTCAGTCTCTTGGGCAATTTTCTGTTCTGTCGGGCTTGCTCGGCAGATTTGCAGCTGGAGAGGCCTGACAAAATCACCCGGACGCCTTCGTCTGTCAACCCACAGTTTTCCAAGACGAGTTTGCGAACAGGAACGATGGCGAGCCAATCGCCCAAAGTCACAATATCCTGCAACTGCATCTGATTCCCGGACAGATCCATTACCGCGACTGTGCCAGGAGCTTCGGCCAGACCAGCGGAAGGCTTAGATATTTGCTCTTTAACTTTGTTCAGAACCGTTGTTTCTCGCAATTGACAACAGCGCTTGTATATCCTCAGTGGGTCTGTCGTACGGCCATCTGTTCCTTCTGGAGGCCGCTTGCTGGGCGTCGAAGCGCCTGGTGGTGTAATGCTTGTATTCGAGTCCGAGTCATCGTCTTCACGAGTCAACTCCAGCGGTACCAGGCCGTTTGCTTCAGCGTGTCGTCTTTTTCGCTCCTTTCGTTCCTTTCGCTCGGCTTCGGACCGTTTCTTTTTCTCCTTCTTTCGTGTACTGGGCACGGCTAGAGGCTCGGGACCTTGCAGCGTTTCTGAAGTATCTTTACCCTTCTCATCCTTTTTCCCCTCTGTTGGCTGAGTCTGGGTTTCTGGCTCCGGGCTTCTCTGCTCCCCCTCTTCCTGCTGCATTTCTGCAACTGACGTCTTAGGGGTTTTTAAGACGGCGCCTTCACCCTTTTCTTTAGTCCTTGCGTCCTTCGAGTCTTTGTTGCTGGTCACTTGTTTGTCAGAAGTGGAAAGATTCTGCTTCTGAGCGTTTGACACCGCTGGGCGGTGATATTGCTCTGGATCTTCGTCGGCCTGAGAAGCGAACCCAGCAATCTCCACATCTACGCAAAACGACACTCTCTTCAGCTTGTTCTGGTCAAACTCGCTGATCTTGATGCGTTCACGATTCTGGTCGATGTTCATCACCCTTCTTGGGCAGATTGCACCACTAGTTGCGCTTTTGCCCATGTGGGTGTTGGAGGAAGAGAGTCTGCGAAGGGCGCTCGACAGAAATCCAGGATGCTCTAACTTTGTCTCTTTTCCCGCGGCAACGAGTACTGAAGGTCTTCGAGGGGCAGTGTGAGGGACGACAGGTGTTTTGGATTCTTCCTTTTTGGTCTCTTTCTGTCCTTCTTTGGGCGGTCGGTTCTTCTCGAAGGGATTCGATAACTCGATTTTCGGACTCGGCTGAGGAGATGCTGTTAGGCTATTACTCGCTTGTTGCACATCCGTGCCGGAATTCCGAGGCGGCGTTGGTGAATTCACAGACGAGAATTTGGAGCTGAAACTTGCGATCCACGAACTCCTTCTACCCTCTTTCTTGTTGGGGATACTTGGCTTCAGACCTTTTTTGCCATCCTCCGTGCTCTGGCCTTTCGACATCGTGGGTCGAGGGGATTGGCTTTGGTTAGGCTGGGAGACTGTCGGCCCTGTCTTCTGCGCGGTAGGCTGTGTGTGGTTCTCCTTGCCATTGACAGCGAGTGCAGACTTCTGTTGTTCGGATACTGTAGGGACTCCATTCGGAGTTTCTTGGAGTGGTGTAGGGTCATGGCGAGGGTGCGCAGTTGCAGGATCATGGTGATTGCCTTTGGAGCCTGCAGAGGACTGTGAAGCTGGCTTCCGACCATTTCTGTCGCCCACCGAATGGGTCAAATCTGGTGGGATGGTTAGTGATACCGTTTTCTGCAGCAATCGCTGTTCAGACGAAGAGAAAGCAGGTGCAACTGTGAGCCGATATTTTGGGACCACACCTTTCTTGGAATGCAGCAGCCAGTCGACATCCAGACCACTTTCGGTGGCCGCAGCCATTGTGATTTAAGATGAAGCGCAGACGCCTCCAGGATCAACAGATGAACCTGTGCTCTGGGGATGTCATATAGGCTGGACCGAGGGCCGTTGTGAAGAAGCTGGATGATGGGCGACGATGGGTTTGCACAGGGCGGCCGGCGGGGTTAAAGGTGCAGTAGGCAAAGCAATGCAGCTCCTGCTTGGTTGGCCAGAGGTCAGAGATCGCGATCGACTTGGGTCTGGGCTTTGGGGATCTTGTGGCAGGATGGCAGGATTCGGCCGCCACTTAAAAGCCAGCCCGCCGCTGGAACTGGAACTCGGTACGAGTAGGTTGACAAGGCGGCCCTCGGAAGCGCCTGGGGGCTTGAGCGCCGTGACTGCGGTGCAGTGGCCCAAGGTCCAATGCCTCGAGGAATGCCCAGGATTTTCGGCCAGAATAGCTGCAATAGTTGGAGGTTGTAGAGGTTGGTGGAGAGTGCTGAATGGGTACAACAGGAGGGGATCTAGGGAAGTGGACCACTTGACATGCACCACTGACACCACCAGAAACTCAGCTTCGGGCGGTTTCTATGTGGTCATTGTCACCATCCACACCACCGACACAATAATAATGAGCAATGATGAAATGAGAAGTGTGTCGTTTGCCGTCCCTTTCAAGCAAACGAGTCGGGTAGATCGCGGGATTTCGGAAACCGTCGTCACGGAACTCTCCCTCGTTGGCGTCACTGTGCGAGAGATTCTCCCAGCCGACACTTCTCCTTTCTCGAGCGTTCCCTTATTAATGATGGCGCCCTTTCGAAAAATGCCTCCTGCTGCAAGCGCGTGACCCGGCCGAGAAAGAAAGGGAAAGATCAAGAATTGCACGGGGTGGCAGGGAGAAAAAAGTGTCAGCAAACAAGCCCATAATATATGTCGCACCTCTGCTCAACACCCCGTATTGCCATAATAACAGGCCCTTGATGACACACATGCGAACAGTGGCACAGGGCACAGGCATTGCTACCAACTGGTCAGCCCCGATAACCACTCGTGGCAAGGAATCCAGGTCGTGGTGCCTGACATATGAGGCCCCCTGCCCCTCGCGGGATTGCTTAGATGGACACTCTGCTTAGGGCCTGTTCGCCAGTAGAAGGCCTTGGGAGAACCACCCAGCAGAGCCTGTGGCCCAAAGCACAGGGCCCACTAACCCACTAAGGCACAGTAAGGATCGACTCAGAGGCACCTTCTCCGTAAAGTCTACCTCTAGGTCTGGTGGCTGGGTCAGGTCAGCATCTTATGTCAGATAGCGTCAAGACTATAGTTGACTATGAGTGGCCGGTATGGACAAAGTTAAGATGGGCTCATCATCCTTCCTACTAGTAAGATTTTCTTCACACGGTTTGGCAAACCGGAATGTGTGCGAAATGAAGAGTTTCTTCAGAACTTGGGAACTGTTACAGGCGCCCAATAGACATGATTAATATTCTTCTCTCGTCCTGGCTATTTCTCGTCATATCAGATCGTTTCCAGCTAACCAGGCGCGCCAGAGCATCAGATCTCTGGGAAGAACTCTGTCAAACCCATCATGGGTATCTATCGTAGGACGAGTTGCTTTTGGAGAATGCTGAACATCATGATTCTCGTATCTCTTGACTCGAAGTTCTCAACACCAGCAACGATTCCTTCTCAACCGTCCCTCATGAACTCCTTTTTCCCCCGAGCACCAACCGGTGCTGGTTGACGGCACTCAGGAAGCAAGAGTCGCAATCTTCTCCTTGACTCGGCGGTCCTTCTCCTCCTTGGACAGCTTGCTGACCTTGTATTTCTTGCCTTCCGCCTTCCACTCATCCTTGGACTTCTTGTCTCCCTCATCGTCGTCCTTCTTGAATGGGTCCTCGCGAATAGCAGCGTGCGCCTCGGTGTAAAGATCCTCAAGACCATCCGCCTCGATCTCGCTTTCGATGTACTTGACGAATTGAGACTTGTAGCGTTCTTCATCATCATCTGCCAGTGTTTCCATGTACTCCGCGACGTGGCCGCCGAAGATGTACTTTCGCAGGACGTCGGCATCCAGTTCCTTGCTTTCCTGGTCATAGCCGGGGAATCGTTTCTCGTTGTGGGGAATGTACAATCCGCCATCAGAAGCTCCCTTCATCGCACCGAAGACACGAGCGCCCGTAGAAGTACGGTGCAGACCCACGTCGAGGAAGCACTTGAAAGGACGACGTTCCTCGCCATCCTCGTCGGCAGCCTCTGTGAGCTTGTATTCTCCATCGGGCTCTTCCACACCAGTAAACTTCTCATCCAAGTCCAACTTCTTGAGAGCACGACGAGCCAACAGCAGGCCAGTAGCGTACGCGGCAGACCAGTTGGTCAGGCCATTGTTAATGCCATATCTCTTGAGCTCGTGCGAGTAGGCGGCAACAAAGACTTTATCGCCAGTGATTTCTGCGGTAACAAGTTGGCAGATGATGTCTCGGTTGGTGAAGCGGACGACAAGGCGGTACTTGGGGGCGTTGTACTTGTTCTTGGCCTGGCTGATCAAGCGCTTGCGAGCATAGTAGTCGGTCTAATTTCAGTCGTCAGTCATCAGCTTGTAAGACGAGGCGAGAAATGCAGTTTTTCGTCACCGTACCTTGCCAGCCCGTCTGCGCTTGTACTTGGTCTGGAAGCGGGAGTAGTAGGGGGAGTTCTTGACGCTGAAGTATTATGTGTTAGCTCTGGAGACCAGAAGGGACCTGTAAAGGCCTCGGACTCTCTGAACTTACAGCTTCGTGAAAGGCATGTTGCCGACTTGAGACTGTCCCAAGAATTATTGTGGTTCACTATGAAATCCCCGAATCAGCATTTTGCGCTGCAGACCCAATTCCGCAGCAACATGCAGGGATTCTCTCATACATCTTGTCGTTGTAAATTAGAGACTTTGTCGAAAGTCTCGGTTGTGCAATGGAGGGCTCAAAGAAGTTGAGATGGCCTGGAGGATATCGAAATGCGAGTCCCAAGTGCAAGATGTGTGCGCCGCCAAGATTTTCAATTGTGCGCTCAAACCGGGATGCTTGGTTGGTGGGGGTCGTTTTAGCTCAGCCTCGTGCCTCGTTGACCTTCCGAAATCACCTCTCCCAAGCTCTCAGCTACACAGTGCACTTCATACTCTTTGAAAATTGAGGCAAGCAATCCGAGCTTTAAAATTACAATGGCCGCGAAATAAATCTGGGCTCATTGCCTTTGACCAGGAACGTCAATGACCAATTGAACGGAAATTTAAAGTGACAGGGCTACACGTTTACCCAACCAGCAAAAAGGTTTGATAGCCGATACAGCGCTGAATAGCGAGGCATATGAGACACTGATATGTGGAGATTCACACTAATCACAAAGTGCGCCTCCGCTCCAAATTTCGAGATTGCGACAAGTCGGAGTCGCCGAGAGATGAGAGGCGGAAAGTGTTGTAGAAGGCGCATCCTCCGAGGGGATGTTGAGATGGTAGCATTGATAGAAGAGCATTGCCGACCCCTGTGCAGTATGCATGGGATACATTAGTGAAGCAGGCTTTCGACTATGGAAGGAAGTGGTCATATGGTGTGTCTTGAAAGGCCGGCTTTTCTAAGTTGTGAAGTAAGACGGAAGAGCGACAGAAAGCAATGTAGAGAACTGCTTCGAGAGGGGTGCCTCATACAAAGGAACTTGGGAAAAAGACTCCATGACATTTCCCCCAGATTGTCTGCAAGCGTTGTTCATTCATTGACTGTTGTCCGCCAAGTGCGACCCGTAGATGCAGCTGTAGTGAATGTGAGTCCTAATGTCTTGGCGTGATATTGGAGCAGGTCGCCCAACCCACTTCAAATTTACATTTTGTTTCATCGCCATCCAGGACGTCGTCGTTGACAAGCGACAGTGATGGCTTCTCCGTTGTCTTCCCATGGTGGTAAGTTTGCCGAAAACCAATCAGTGCTTGTCCCTTGCAGCCGGGCCGAGCCGTGCAGATCACAGCCTATCCTCGTGCAGCGGAATAACAGAAAATCCGTATCCCGATGACCCTTTCCCCATCATGGAGTTCTGGATGTTCAAGACTGACTTGACTTTCTTCTCATTTCAGATTTACCACCACCACCACCAACACCACGCCTTCGCCCTACCACCACCAACCTCCCTCCACTGCGAGGGCACAGTCGTCGCTCTACCCTCCTGACAACACCTTTGATCTCTACAGGTTACGCCACCGCGCTTCTTCGCTCTCCAGTCAGCTCTCGTCGCCAATCTGTCAGTGGACCCAGCCAGGAAAGCGAGCAAGACGATGAACTTCTCCGCCAACTCACCAATGCCCAGCTCGTCAAACCGAATGAACTGAGCCAAATTCTCCAAGATCACCTCAACAGTCAGGCCTCTGTCATCGAACAAGAACCTGACCTTGACCCAGACTCAATCTACATCAACATACGCGGCTACAATCCTTACAGCGACATGGCCTCTCCAAACGCGTTCCCGTCCCTTGACACCTCTCTCCCTCCTGCTGGCAACCGTGTGTCGGCAGCTTCTCCTATCGGTCCTTCCTCTATCAACGGCAGCAATGGCATCAACGGCCCAGGATCGGGTGCAGCACCCGCTGCAGGCTACATGCCTCCTCTACCGGTCGGCCACCAGCAAGACCTGAATCACCTCTTCAACCAAATCCAAGAGTTGGGAGCCCTTTTGAGAAGCAACCGCGAGAAAGTCAATTCCATCACTCGCAATGCTGAGGAAGTCGCGAAACGCGCAAATGGGGCGCTTACAGACAGCGAACCAGCGCAGCCAGACAATGACAGTAAGTTACACTGCGATTGGTCTTGTTTTCTCGTCGGCAACTCAACTAACCCGACTCTCCTTCTCTAGAAGCACGTGTCCGTGAGCTCGAACTCGAACTTGCCAAGCAGAAGCAGCTGGTTGAACTTTACAAGCACGAACAAAAAGAGAACACTGGCTTGATTGCCATGTACGAAGAAGCAATGGGGACGGCTGTCGAACAGATCCGAAACTACTGCGGCGATATCGAGGGTCGATTCTTG